GGGTGAGATTTTTTTTTTTTTACTTTTTGAGATTACATGCTATTTAGTTAAAAGGTAACTTCAGGGGATAGTTTTTGCTCAAGGTTATAAGAGTGTCTAAGGCCAGTAGTCTCGGGGATTCCTCCAATCTCAGAGAGTCCAGTAAGTTCTTACTTCTTTGAGAATTTGAAGTTCTCTTCCAAACTTTTCTCTCTTTCTATCAGGCTCCATCTGCTGTGATCAGGATGTACAGTGTTGGTAGCTGGGCACTATCTAGTTCTTTTAGTCTCTAGATGGCAGTGTTTCATGGAGGTATTAGTTCTGTACAGCAGTTCCTTCTCTGATTATTAGGTTTCTTCTTTCTCTTTTGCTCCAGATGAGTAAAGACTAATAGCTGTATTTCAGATGGCCTTTCTCAAGCTTTTAAGTCCTCAGATGCTGCTCACCAAATTAAGATGTAGAACATAAACTTTATGAACTGTAATTTGTCGATTGACAGAATTGTTCCATAAGACTGTGACCCTAAGTTTTCAAACCAAGAAAACTAATACCATTAGATAATTGATAATGCCAAAGAACTATTAGTGACTACTGCCCTTTTTATTTATAGAGATAGATGGATAAGAGATAGGTATTTGTTGTTTTTGCAAAATTATTATATAGCATAGAATTTATCAATACATCCTTTTTCTTATGCACAACTTAGTGACAGCAGCTACATTAGTCAAGCTGTGCATACTTCACCCACCTTCAGTGCTATATTTCTCATCACCATAAACAAAAAGTGATTACTACCTAGAGTGTTTGTTTCACAAAGGAGAAGTCTCTGTAGCCCTTGAAAAACTTGTCTGGAAATCACATGGTTAAAGTCAGATGCTCCCACAAAGCCCATGGTGCTTGTTATATTCATGTGGGAATGAGTCCAAGACATTGGTTGGCTTGCTGTAAAATTACTCTTCTTTGAAGATTCACTGCCACTGGACTCCCAAAGAGCAGGAGGAGTGTTTTCACCTCTTGTGTCTTTATGGGTGAGTCACCAATGTATGGTTTCGAGAGGAAAGGGGACAGGCAATCTCCCAACCTTCTTGTTACTGTTACTTTGTGAATATTGTTTGTGTGTTTTGAGGAAGATTCTGAAAAGGGACGGTATATTGAGATGGAAAATGGTACCATCATTTCAGATTAAATCTGGGAGCTATTGTATAAATTTCCTGAAGACTTCCTCAAATATGATGTCATAGAGGAACCAATTAAGTGTGAAAATAAGAGATGGACTGGTAAATTATTGGCAAAAACTCTCTTTTCTTAAGTACAGCCTTTATGTGTATACTTGAATCTGTAGGCAGATATTCCCTGCCTCTCAAGAGAAGCAAGCTAAGATGAATGAAAGTCTGAGGAACAGAACAGTATAGGGAACTGCAGGATTATGATGCCAGTCTGAAAAGACTGTCTTTTTCTTGCAAGGTGAAGGGTGGAAGAGGGATGGCCTAAATCAATAAATCTAGGGTGATCAAGATTAATTGTATTTCTTTTAAGTATATAAAGAATCATCTTAGAAAAAGCTCCTTTTGAGCATGGTAAGCAATAATGGTAAGAAATAATTAGAGGAAAAACAATAACAATTATTATTGACTTTCTAAGCACTTTACATAATACTAGACTCTCTCCCACCCACTATCTTGTTATCAAATAAACCTATGATATTGGCATGATATGACAACTAGTACAATTCTCTCTTTCCCCTTTTTAGAAAGTTGAAAAACTTAAGTCAATATGGGATATGTAAGTATATGTATATAATGTGAGAGGAAAATCTATTGTGAACATGAATCATTATTATATTACTATCATGGCAAAATGTGGTCTCTTAATACTGTTGCCCTGTGGCTGCAGAAAAAAAATAGATATTGACTTTGGAAACCAACATGACTTCCCGTTTTGTCTGCTTCTTGAAGCCACAGTCCACAGCTGATTGTAAATCTGTTTACCAGATAGAAAGAACATCTTCTATAAATAAATATTCCTAAACATTGCTAAATTTTTTGGAGAAATAGCTTCTCCTTATACCTAATGGTATACTGGCAGTAGTACTCAAACTTTGGTGTACATCAGCATCATATGTGGGCATTATTAAAACATTGAATACCAGGCTTCAACTCAAGAAATCTTTATGAAGTAGGTCTTGGGTGGGACCTGAAAATTTACATTTCTTACAAATTCCTGCATATTACTGATGCCACTAGTCTGAGGTCCACACTTTCAGAGCCACTATAGATAGATTGACAGACAGACAGATAGATGATTGATAAACAGATAATAGAGAGAGATGCAGATATGTAATGTAGGTATAGATATTTTCAGTACAGTAGAGATTTTTTTTTCCTGATGAAATTCAGTTTTCTTGAGTAATAGTGTTGGTTCTAGTTCTCTGTTCTCTCTCTTGTTGTTCTGTGCCCTTGAGTCAACTCCAATGCACTCAGCCCTATATGACAGAGGAGGGTTTCCTAGCTTGCAATCTTTGCAAGAGTAGATTGTTTGATTTTTTTTTCCTTCTGAGGAACAGCTGGTAGGTTGAATTACCAATTTTTCAGTTAACAGCCAAGCACTTAACTATTGTACCACTAGGACTCCATATGTGTCTAATTAGTATCTCTAATGGAGCTCTGGTAGCATAGTGCCTAAGTCGCTTGACTGCTAACTGGAAGGCTGGCAGTTCATACCCACCAGCCACTCCTCAGAAGGAAGGTTGGCAATCTACTTCCATAGTGATACCTCCTTGGAAACCCAAGGAGGGGTGGCTATAGTCGGGTCTGACTTGATGGCACATAACAACAATAACAACAATGCAGCTAGAGTAGGCTCCTATCTCTTA